GTGGAGTCAATGAGTTCCACCTCGATAATTTTTTTATTACGAAGATACGTTAGCGGTGATTATTGCTAATCTTATCGAATATGCCTAGGAGTCGCAGCAAGTGGCGATTAGATTCAGAGAACTCGCCCAAGTTTAATTAACTCGTCCATTTTCAATTCCGTACATGAGGTCTTTTTAGGGCACTTTGAACGATTTCTTTTGCTTTTTTCTTCGATGACATTGTATTTACAACATGATCAAGTGCTTCTAAGCTCTAGCACCTCTGGAAGGCTATTGCGACCCTGTCTAAAAGGTGAGTTCTTTTTCTGAAAGCATATTGAGCGACAAGCCAAAAATGTTTATCGATCGTTGTCACAAAAGAACATGTGTAACCATAATGACAAAAAGCAAAGCGAGGCAGCAAAAGCATTTAACAGATGACTCGGAACACAAATAATAACGGAGAGATTCGGGGGTAGCTCTAGAGGAGGCCAAAAATGTCCTCGGAATGATTGTTGAGATGGTCCAATTGGCATATTAGTACTCGTCGCCTTCCTCACCGTTGTCTTCGAGTGAATCGACGCCAACCTGAAATCATCTCTACACTCTCTGGCAAGGCTATCCAGACACACGTGTCGTCTGCCGTAGGCTGTTAGCTGACCTCTTCGTAGTCTTTCTCCAGAGCTGCTAGATCTTCACGTGCTTCCGAGAATTCTCCCTCTTCCATACCTTCACCCACATACCTGAAAGTCGGCTAAATACAGAATATCACTCAAATTTGGAAAAAATGTTGGTCTGGTGGGAACAGTTCAAAAATAAACTCATGGCCCTGAAATCGCTGGAATGATCCAACGATTGGCTAGAACCCATCGGAGGCCTATTTTGTTGCTGGAAGGGGGGGGGGGGGGGAGGTATTTGACCTCGAAAGAAATTATCGTACTGACGGTTTTCGCCTCTTCACCCATCCCGATGCTGTCCATATCTCAGCGCTGGAGGGAGTGCTTTCAGGCGTGGTTGTGAGCTCGACGACGTTAGACAGATACCGATCTGGCACAGACGCGAGCACGATGGGCACGAGGAAACGTTATTGTACTCTTCACCTCAACCTTCTGACACGACAAGCTTTTCGCGCTCATAAGTTAAGTCTGTAGATACTGCCCCTCCAATGTAGCGACACGGCAAGTGCTCTACTGTGAACGAGAATTTGAAGCAATGGAATTTGCGGGAATATGATCCCCCTTTTCATCACCACCGGCTGACTTTCAATAATTCTTCAAACTTCCCCAATGATTTTTTCCGGACAGCGCTACCTCCTAGGAATTCTCCTTTTTTAAAAAAAAGTGCAAGAATTGGGAAACATATCGAAACCTTGGCAACAGGCCACGGCATTCGATGAGGGATTTTGGCTCGAGTTTTACGACCCCCCCTCCCCCCTTTTTTCAATGGGGCTGTACGACACCTTCCCGCCCCCCCCCATGCCTCATTACGAATGCACATGGCTGACTGTGGTTGTGGTTTATACCGGCGCAAAGTTGCCGAGCGGCGGCGCAGCCGTGGGAATGTTAGTAAGCAGTGATGCGACGCTACGATAGGTACGGGCGTACATACTAGCTATAACACAGTAAATTCATAAAAATCCACCAAGTGAACCACATAATTCCTAGCCAGAAATACGACCCCCCCTCCCCACAAGGACCAAATTACGACCCCCCCCCTCCGCGCCCGAAACGTCGCAAGTGATGGAAATAAATCAACTAAAAATAAAATTCTTCCCAACAAGTACGACCCCCCCCCCCCCTTTTTGAGAGGCCAAATAACGACCCCATAGCGGATATCCCATCGACCCCGCTGATCGCCCTTGCTTGGCCCAAGAGGAAGGCCGTTATATAGCACACATGCACCGGGAAAAAACCGCGGGAAATTCAACAACCGAGTAACTTTCATAGGAAATATCGTTTCCCCTTCTTTCCCAGAACCACTATATGGCCTCCTCCGGATCATACATTCAAAGGATGTCCTAACGCTGGTATTCAACGGCATCTTCTTTAGAAACCCTAAACCAATTGATTAATTTTTTTGAACGCAGCGCTTTGAAAAAAGGATAGCCGCTCAACGATGGTCTTAAACTGTGGAACCTAATAGCGACTTTTCTGCTTCGCAAGTTGGCACTGTTCGGCCTGGAGGGGGTTTTACTTTCGTTAGTCTCCTCTGCTAGATCATGCTAACTAACACGCTTACCTTGGTGAGAGCTGCAAAAGCTGCGAAATGGTACAAGTGAGCCCCTTTAGTTACAGGAATTTACAAGCTTTCACAAGGCAGCCCGTAAAGCTTTACTGAATACCTTTAGGTGCCTCCCTCAACCCGATCTGCACCTCTCAAGTTGATTGCAGGTGGTTCTCAGTAAAATGACTCCTGTACTAGTCAATTAGACTAGTTATTATGATTTTCTCTGGGAAAGTTCAAATTGAGGCCTTTGACCGATTACAGTCCAATCAAGGCCCCGCACAGCAATCACTCACCAATGCACGAACGCTCTTTTAGCGTACATTAAATCGAATTTGTGATCGAGTCTGGCCCAAGCCTCAGCGATGGAGGTAGTATTCGACAGCATACAGACAGCACGTGGTACCTTGGCAAGATCGCCACCTGGCACAACCGTCGGCGGTTGATAATTGATTCCTACCTAAATGATTACGACGACATACACAAATGACTGGTTTCGAACATCTGCTCTCAGCATGACATACTAAAATATTAGAGGGATTTTCGAATGTACGTCGCATTTAGGGGGAGGAGGGGGGGGGCGGTAATGTTCAGCTTTTTGGACCTGACCCTGTAGAGAGTTTGCGACTTTACTGCAGCTTTTATTCTATTGATTTCATATTCTCTTAGCCGTGTAAACATTGCAAAATCGCTAAATTTGAACTACTGCCCCCCCCCTCCCAGGAGTGAGCAGTGGAAATATCATCACAATAATGCTGAGTTATGGGTGAAATTCGTACCCGGCGTGACTCAAACTCGCATCTCACGCCCATTCGGGCGAGTGCGCTATCCATTACCCTACCAGTGGGAAATTCTCTTGATGGCCTCTCGACCCTCCCAACTGTTTTCAGGGCACTTTCTTTGCGGGTTCGCGGATGAGTTTTGCCAAAATAGGCGACCCGCCTGCCAAGTTTCTTTCTTTGCTAGTACCTTTTTTCCCCCCAATTCCCATTCCACCTGCCATCTTCCTGAATTCTCCCAACTTCCCACCACTTTTCGAAGTTTTCCCGAAAATTCTCCAGTTTCCTCTAAGAAACTGTGGTCAAGTGGGTGGATCGGTGGGAGGGCGGACGGGGTGGGGTTGCATGACGCACTGGAAAACTATTACCTCGCAGAAAAATCAACAGCTCAAACCATTTATCTTCAAAAAAACAACAGCGACCTCCTGCTTGTCCACGCGACTAAACACCTTCCCCCCCTCCCTCCTTCCCTCCCCCACCTCGCAGGGAATCACCAAGTGTATGACAAATCTTGACAGCTTTCCTCTTGGCTTCTGAACTTCAGATTCCAAAACGATTGGTGTTAGCCGGTAGTGTTGAAGGTGCCACAAGTCGTTCTTTACAAGTGCACGCACAAACATCGCCTCGGACAGTAGGGCTGCGACGCGCGCGGCCGCGATGCGGCTGATTTGACCGCCACCCGCTCCAGTTTATTAATTAAAAGGATAAAGGATAAGTCTTCGCCGTTGATCAATCCCTTTGTGGGATGCGGCACGCATTCTACTTCCATTCAGAATCGTAGTGGCTTATTGAATGCGATGTGGCCTATACAATGACTTGCGGTGGCCAGCCGATGTACAAGTCAGTGTTTTATCCTCCCAGACGAATCTGGTACCAATTCACCGTCCCCGGAGGGTAGAAGGCTTGGTTGGCCTGGGCGGGAGTCGACCCGGGATTCGAACCCGGGACCGCGCGAAGTGTAAGCGCGCCACTTATTCACTTACACCAGCCTCGGCGCCCATTTGAATTAATTACGGCTGCGCGAAATGAATTTCCGCAACTTTTCTTGCAGTTTAGAAGTATAAAAAAGACGATACCTTGAAACCAGTTGGACACCAGTCGACGAACTGAATAGAACGTTTCGTCTTGATGGTGGCAATGGCAGCGTTAACATCCTTGGGCACCACGTCACCACGGAACAAAAGGCACACAGCCATGTATTTGCCGTGTCGTGGATCGCATTTTACCATCTGATTATGCGGTTCGAAACAACCTGTTTTCAACATTTTCAACTCGTAACCTTTCCGCACATTCTACACGCTTTACAACATTTCTGCTTGGAAAAATGGCGCGGTCTGGCTTGTGAGGGGGGGGGGGCATTTTGCTTCCATCGTCGTATCGGCCACCAAATTAGAAATCTGTGAAATGCTTTGTGAAGTCATTAAAGTGATACAGTCACAGTGCTTAAGACTACTTGTTCAAACTGCTTCCCACCCCCTCCCAGCGCCAAACTGCACCAAAAAAAAACATCCTCACTACTTTCGCGCTGTCAGTTGCTGCGTGATCTGGACTAGAAACATTAAAAGACCAATATTTTGCACGACTTGACCGTGGCCAGAGTATACCATTTTAGCCAGTTTACTGACCCTATGAAAAGGACTTGAAATGGTGGTGCGTCCGACTCATGGCTGAGAAGTTCACGGAAGGCTCAAAACACGACGTGACGTTACTCCCACGTTAACTGAGTTATACAATTTTAGGATGATGCACAGGCTGATACCAAGCCTACCAACTGAGCGTAAAATGGTAGGCACCAGCGAGGCTACACGATATCCCACAAATTCTCGCCTAGAAACCGCACCTGACTATGGATGGAAAGCGTAATCAGCGTCGCTCTCGCTTCCTAGCCTCACTTCAGAGCTTCGTGCGTTTACGAGACCGACACATTTGGTTTCACGCGTAATTTCTGGGTGTACTGTATGCTGCCTGCCTTCTTAAACTTACGATCTTGTTCTACGTGGGGGCAACGGGCAGATCCTAAACCTGTCAAAAACGAATACTTCTTAATTAGTCAACTCGACATGCGGCTGCACTCCCACGCTAAACCAATGTCTTGGTGTGAATGCCGCGCGCGTAAAGCCGCGTGCTATGCAACGTGCATGTTACCTCAGAAAGCGTAACAGGCTCATTCATGCGGCGCGCTCTCCGAAAAATAAGTAACCAAAATGCCTCGAAAATTTGGCTCAAGGGCTAAAACACTCACATGTTGGTGATTTCGGCGACTGACAGCTGTTCATGATAAGCTTTTTCAGCGGAAATTACAGGTGAGAAAGTTGCAAGCGGGAAGTGGATGCGAGGGTACGGCACGAGATTGGTCTGAAACGGCACATAACAAATGACAAGCATAGTTGGATGACCTGGGGGAAACTCGAGAAGAGCACTACAGTAAGAAGGGATCCTACCTGGAATTCGGTCAGGTCCACATTCAGGGCTCCATCAAAACGAAGCGAAGCGGTGATCGACGAGACGATTTGTCCTGAAAAAAACGAAAAATCGCATGCGAAGGAGACTATTGTCATTCGACTCTTCGGAAAAGTCTCGAAATGTTTTCGAAGTCGAAAGAGGGAGAGAGGAAAGAGAGAATAAAGAGGAAAGAGCGCAGTTATGCTTAGGAGAGGGGCACCAGATGGAACTCATCTAAGCTTGTGCAGGTCCCACTGCGAAGACCTGTGAAGTCCTGAGACTACAGTGGCTCACTCGAACCATTTAGCAGCTTCACAGGTCTGACCACAGTGGGACTTATGAAGCACGGAATGCCCCCTCCAAGCCGAACAGCGCAGAGAAAAGCCGTGACCTAACAGTTGAATATTTTCCTACTGAAACATTCCATGACTCTCTCTCTGAGTCTTCTCACCCTCATTTTCTCCAAAGCTAACAATTAACCAACCGATAAGTCGGTTCAGGTTGGTATAGCTGGGT